CTGGCTCTGGTCAGGTCCAGCTCCACAACCGGAGTGCGTTGATGCACCGGCCTCACCCGCGGGCACGGCAAGGGGACCGGAAGGGAGGCCTCCCCTTGGCCACCATGCGAGGATGACCCTGTTTCCATCCTTCTGCCCACCCGCTCATCGCTGTTCGAGGTGACCACCTCCAGCTTCCTCTCGGTCATGGCCTTCTTCATCTTGCGGTCACCTAGGTTCTCCATGGTGCAGGTGTGTGTTTCGGATCTTGGCTTGTGGCTTTGTGTAGGGGTGGAGTATTTCCCCGTCTCTGAATTTATAACCCAGCTCGACATCCTCACATCAGGCAACAGATCGTCTCCCTCTGATACATCTGGGAATATGATGTCTGGCGGATCCCCTGTTTGCGAAAATTCTACCCCCGACCTGATTCACTGCCGTTTTGGTGTTTGGTGGCAGATTTCCCATTACCTCAATCCCCACGATTATTTCCTTGCTTTTGTGATTCTCTTTCTCATACTGTGTTTTCTGAGCAAATCAATCTCTTCGTGCCCGATTCTCCCCGCTATCGCTTGACAATGGCTCATCACTTTCCTCTGTCGACCAACTCCTTTCATGTTTGATTCCCATGGACATTGCTGGGATTTCACCTGCAAACAACGGTACGCCCTCCTGACTCTTGCTAGATTTGATGGACTGAGTGTCGTCCATCCCCAGCGTGTATTCCGGTGCCGGGCTTGCTGTCGATCCGGTACTCCAGTCCCATTCGCTTTTCAGGATCTCCTCCTGCGATCTGCTGCCCTGCAGAGACATTCGGATCCGATCCATACCTTCCCGGATTCGTCCCAATACCACATCTGGTTGTGATCCTCTCAATCCCCCTCCCGCGTCATTCACGCCCTTTCTTGCTTCCTTCCGGGCCATCAGAGAGCGGATCGCCCCTGACATCTTCCTCTGGATCTCGTTGAGTCCCAACGGGTCCTCATCAGCGAGCACACGGCAAGATGATGTAGTGCGCTTCCCCTCGAACTGGATTGGGCCGGCAGCATCAGGCAGCGACGATGGATCTGGGGTGTCGCGGGCGGATCGCCATGGGATCGCCTTTCGCATGGTGGGAGCGTGATATCGACGCAAATTCTGTTACACCCAACTTCATTTGCGAGTAGGAGCCCGTCTCGTAAGCCTCTAGCTTCTGCCGTTGTCGCATCTTCTACAAATGAAATGTCACTGCATGACGCTGCCACGAAGACACCAGAATTGTCTCGTAAAATGGCACATGTTCCTCCTGTTCCACTATCATGATTAAAAGTGGCATCCACATTGAGTTTAAGAATTCTCTACGGCGAACAGCATCAGCCGTGCCTTTTAAGTTTTACCTTCTTTGACTTGGCCTTAGAAAAATTCTTAGCAAGGGTTATAATTGCTTGTGCTGACCTGCTCGGTTCGAAGATACGTTCGTCATGGGTGTACTGACACCGTTCCCATCAAACATACCAAACTACAGTGGCCACGAGATCATACGGTCTGCGATATCTTGGTGCTGCAGTGATTCACAAAATTCTGCAGTAGCATAATTTGCCCGCAAACCCTATAAGTCGCTTATAGCAAGAGTGCCTTTTATGTCACCTGAAGCTTTTTGAACTGTTCTACAGTACTGGTCCGGCCCGTTCTCAGCGCTCGCTCGCTGGTAGCTGCGTACGATGCGTTCTTGTCTATTTATTTTTATTTTATTCATTTACTTTTTGGTTTTTTATTTCAGTTTTTTGTTTCTTCACGGTTCCCCTCGGGTTTTGGGTTTTCACCATTTTATTTTTTTATTCCCGAATTTTACTGGTTTCTTTTCTTATTTCTTCATTTTTTTGGTTTTGTCCGGGTTTTCTTGTTTTCCTGTCTTTTTCCACTAGTTTTCTCCTGTTTTCTTTTCTTTCTTTTCTGGTTTTCCTTTTTTCTTCGTTATGCTTCAGGTTTCTTTTGTTTTTCCTGGGTTTTCTTTATGTTTCTTTCTTGGTTTTTGTCATTTTTTTCTTCAACACATGTATATTATTTTGCAGTGCTTAGGGTACACGAGAAACACTTTTTTGACATACTTTGTACATTTTTCTCTTGAAAACATGTTATGAACCCTTTCTTTAATACATTGTCAACCTTTTTCCAAATACACGCTTGACATTTTTATGGTAATAATATTTTTTCTAAACTATGCATACTTTTTGTAAATACACGATTAACATTTTTTAAACGTATATTTTTTATTTCTACTTCTTCTACCCACTAGGAACATTTTCTATACACATTTAGCATTTTTTAAATACACAATCAAAAGTTTTCATATGCATTGTATATTTTTCCGTATACATGAGAAATATTTTTTCTATACGCATTTTAAAATTTAAATGCTTGACCAACTTTTTTTAAATACCTGATCTGCATGATTAACATTTTCTCAAATACATGATCAACTTTTTTTCGCACACTTTTTATAATTTTTGTATACATTTTTCACATACATGAAAACATATTTTCTACACACATATTACACTTTCAGAATGACTGGTCAATTTTTTAAAATATTTGATCAATTTAGGAAAAAGAATACATAAACCTTTTTGGTACACATTATAGTTTTTGCATATACATACACATTTTACATTTTCCAAATGCTTGATTAACATGTTTTAAGTATGTTTTTTACAATATATATATTTAGAATATTTAAAAGCATAATCAAAAGTAAAAAAAGAAAGCAAAGAATAAAAACAAAGAATGTGAAAAAAACAGGAAAAAAGGAGGCCCTGGCCCTGGCCTGTGGCCTCGGGCGCTGGGCTGGCCTGGTATGGCGTTCGCTTCAGCATAGAGCATCTCCAACAGGCGCCGAACGCACCGCACGCAAAAAACAGCTTTGTCGCGCGCCCATCGCCTGATTTGGCGCGGCGCGCAGCGCTGACTCCAGCAGCGCGCAAAAATGCAGCACGCGCGCTCATTTTTACAACATTTTCGAAAGCATAGATAAATATTAAGATAATAAAAAACGATAAATTGCATAGATAAAAAACGATACAAAGGTATTTTACATCGGTACAACTAGATAGATAGTTCGAAAGCATAGATAGATAGAACTACGGTGCAACTAGATAGAAACTACTACGGCATACATAGATAGAAACTACTCCAAGTCGCTACCATCATCACCATCCTCGTCGGGGTTGTCCGAGGTATCGAGCCATATGTCGTCCCAACGTTCATCGTCTGACGTGAAGATCGACCTCCCACCTGCTTCAACGATATCGCACTGCGCATTCGCCAATGCCTTCCGCCGACGCCGGTCCGCCCGCTCCGCGCGGCGCCTTGCCGTCCTCTCCGCCCAGTAGGCACGCTCGTCGGCGACGTCCTCCGGGTGGCGACGGCACCACTCCGCCATGGCTCGCTCGTCCTCCTCGGCGATGAGGAGGCGGCGGCAGCGCCGAGCGTGGTCGGCACGGTCCATGTCGGTGATGAGACGTGGCGGAGGGGCGACGCGTTGCGCCTGCTCGCGCGTGAAGACGTCCCGGAAGTTCATCTGCGACCGGGGCCTATCCAAGCGCCACGCCGCCGCGTCGTATGCGCGGGCCGCCTCGTACGCGCTCAGGAACGACCCGAGGCCGAGCCGGACGTCACCGGCCCGGATCTCGGCGGAGTACCAGCTGTTGGGGCGCTCACGGACGCCGCGGTAACACGAAGAACCCCGGCGGCGCGGCGGCATGGTGACGCGGAAAACGGCGAAGCGGCGAGGTTGCGAGGGGAGGGCGCGTGGCTATGTCTATGCGCGTGACGAGCGCGGCATTTTATAGGCGCGCGTGAAGCGGCGCGCCAAATCTACCGCGCCGCGTGCCGCTTTCTCCCGCGCGCGCGCAAGCGCTTCCCGCGCTCGGTAAGTTCCCGCCATCGCTGGAGCGCGCGGAACCAGCCGGCGCACGCTAAAACCAAATTTTACCGCGCGGGCACGCCTTTTACCGCACTGTTGGAGATGCTCTCGGACGAGATTGCCCTACGTCTCGCTACAAGGGAGACATAGGGGCGCTCTAATTTGCCGACCTGTGTGCGTCTATCTGCTTGACTTGAATCGCAGTGGTTTCCATCCAAGTAGCTACAGCAGCGGCAGCGGCAGCTGCTGTAGCTACTCTCACTCGTAGCTTAGCTACAGGGAGCCTGCGCCCACGGCACCCCTGGTACGTCCCCTCCAAGTAGTAATCTCTTGTGTCTCTGTATATATTCTGCTGCAGAGATCGCGAATCCCTGCGCCTGACGCAGCCACCCGCTGCATCGCTGCTGTTTAGATCAGACATGAGAGCATAGACCTCTCCCTCCCCTACGCCCCTACGCCCCTAGCCTGCTCCGGCACGGCCACGGCCATGGACGACGTGCTCCGTTTCAATTCAGGCCCTGTTCAGAAAATATATCGATCGTAAACACGGGCATCAGGCGAAGCTTCTCCCCACCATTCTACCCTAGGCCGGGCAGCGTATATGGCATGGCACGCATGTGTTCATGGATTGCCCATCCCGCCTCTGTACAGCCGAGCTGTTTGTTAGTGTGTCCAATGACATGAGCAGATGATCACTGTGCGGCGAGTCCATGCTTGGCATGCTGCATGCCAACCTTGTCAACGCATCGGTACCAGAGATAGAGCCGGGAAGTCATGGTCAAACCCACTTGTATTGGAAATAATATGGGAAACCTGGGCAAGTAGTGAACTGGCAATTCATATATAGGGCTAGATCTCAGTCGACTCGGATTTAACCAGGTCTCAATCAAGTGACATGACATATATAAAAAGAATAAATTCAAAAGAAAATTTTGCACAGATCTCCACAGAAGATATCAGACTTTTAGCAATCCCGGTTCATACAATATTAATGAACTTGGATAAATATGATAAAAAGCAATAACAGAAGTTCAGTTTTGCGGCGCCGAGTACTGTTACTGATTTCACTGAAGAAATACGTTGGTACTCCAGTTACAGTATTAAGTGAACAGATACATGTTCACTGCAACTTGTTCGCAACATAGAGGAGGTGGCCGATGTTCGTCGGAGGGTAGCTCTGCAGAAGCTTGAGGTTGGAGCTGAAATCGCCGGCAAGGAGCCGTTTCCGGACCAGGATCAGCATTGCGCAGCATATTCTCAGCAAGGTTTCCTGCAGCCAAATTTTCAGGCATCTGCCGAAATGCAGAACAAACCAGAGCATGTTGCTTGTTTGTTACCTGAGGACCATCTGGGTCACTTAACAGAGTGTCCCATATATGAATAATATCGGCAAAGTTGAATTCCTGGGTTAACAGCAGCGTTATCCACCTGAACGCGTAGAATTGGGGATTAACCTGCAGAAACCATGCTTCTGTTAGAAATACTGCAGGCACTTTCTTCACTACTATAACCATGGCATATCAGTAGTGTGCTACTGTCATAATGTTCCACACATCCAAACATTATAAAAGAGCTACTGTAAAAATATAGAACAGTGGAAGGCTCAGCTCAGATGAAGCATAGATAATGTCACCGATAGCAATTGGTGTGGCAAGTGAAAGGACAACCCTACACACAGCAATAAAGATCATGTTGTTTATTATGTCAAGACTTACTTCCGTAGTTATTTCCAAGTGGTGCTGAAGTTCTCCATCATACTTCTTTAGAAGTTGCGATAATTTGGAGAGCGTCCCTCGAATGCCGACAACACTGTTGTCTAGCTTCTGGCAGAAGTTGTCTCTAAGCCCACTAAGTAACTCCACGAAGCAAAAGAAAGAATCGGCTTCGGCGAAGTTCTGCAAAGGATTCCAGGTACCAACATCACGATATAGATAGTCTCAAAGTCATGACTCATGAGTATACAAAATAAGAACTGTCTCAGCAGTCAACAGTCTGCTCTACAACAAATGGTATGACGCATATGTCAAAATAATCGCTTACTCCATACAGCATTTTTATAATCTGGATCATTCCGAAATACAAAGAAGAGCGGCGCCAAAATTTCATTCATTCCTTGCACATATCTTATCCCAGCATTCAGCTTGGCAAAGATAATTAATATATTTCTCAGAGAATCCTGGTCAGAATAACAAATGATCAGCCATGTATCCTAGCAGAAAACTGTTTACACTTAGATACTGGAGATTTACCTGATTGGACTTTGCAAAAGAAGAGTCTCCACAGAAGAAATGTATGTCAGGGTGAGTGCGTTTTACATCACGGTCAACCTGCTCGATCATCTCTGAATGCTATATGAAAGATATATTCAAAGAAAAAAGATACCAATGTTAGAGTCATGTGAAATGGTGAAATGACTCACCCATGCACTCGACACCATATGCATTCGCAAACATTGAGAGCACACATATATAAATACACTAGAAAAGGTTAATTCTTCCGAAACTAAAAGGTAAATCCACATGTTTTAATTTTGACAACAATTGCTTCAAACGGTTCACCAGATTTTTTGCAATTTAAATTCTCAAAACATGTCAATCGATGTCCTTCTTACGAAAATAAAACAAAAACGAGCATAAATACGATGCAGATATAATGATATAAGTGGTTTAAATTTCTTGCACTTGATCCTTATGTTTGTCAAAGCATAAATGCTCTAAATTGATGCTAATGGCTGTCTGACACAACCTCCAGTGTAAGCAGCACAGATTAGTACCAATATCCAAAAAATGAAACACTGCCTGCAATATGTCTCCAGAACTACGAAGTACACCAAAACAACGTGTGCAATTGGCCAGATCATAAAATCCAAATGCACTAGAGCATACCTCAGCGAACTGATTCCATTGGCTGGTCTTCCCAAGGCTCAAAGGATGATCATCTTGGGCTATCTCCGACCTGTCAAGAAACCCATGCTCAACATGCTCTGCATTTCCGTCACTGTGGCCTTCTGATCCCCCAGTCGTGCTACTTCCACCTACCTAGCAAAATTAGGATTCAGGATCTCTGTCTCCTGGTGAGGATCTAAACTAAGTACCAATGTGATGTGAATCTATTAATTCGTACATTTTTTTAGAAAAGGATTTATTCGTACAATTAAGGCAAAAAAACAGTCTAATCTGAGCGTGAAGTGACATACAGTGTTGGGAAGGAATTCGTCTTTGAAGGCTTCATATTGTGACCTCTTTTTTGCCAACTCCTGCTCCCACAGTGCACGATCCTTGGGCAGATAGCCCAGTAGCAGCTGCGCAACCAACACATGTACAGTGAGAGTGAGTCTGTGACCGAAGAGGGCAAAAAGCAACACTTTTGACTGCATCTTTCCCCTCAAACTGACCATATAAGGACAACTGATCAAAAAAAGGTTAACAGTAGCACGTGGATGAACACAAAGGGACAAAAAGGCAGACGATTTCTAATCTGACATTGGCATCAAAAGGCAAAAATAAACAACGCACATTGACCAGAAACATCAGCTGCACATACAGTAAATCAGTCGTCTGTCTGAAATTCTGAATTAAGGCAAAATACTAAATCTTCAGCTTGAGACTACAGAACAAATCTCGAAAGAACAGAAGGACGAGCCTGCCAATCGGGTACCTTCCACACAGTCGACCGGACGCCGGCGCCGTCGGGGACGCCCTGAGCCGCAAGCATCCGCAGCTCATCGAGATCTATCACCTTCTTCGACAGCTGCAGAGCTCACCGGTCGCCCCAAGAACGACGCATCAGGACGACCCGATGGGGCAGAAGCGAAGAAGCAAAAGCTAGGAACTGACACAGCGGAATTCGGACTCACCGCCGCGAGGATACGGGACTGGCGCGAGATCTCCAGCTCCGCCGACTGCGGGGATTGCGGCGAGCTCGCCATGGATTTGGGATATCACAAATTCACAAGACGGGTGCAGACTCTGACACTGGTCCGTGGGTTCGGAACTGTTTGGGTCGCGTTGGGACATTATGTGATCTGGCCGCAACCGTCGATTTGCTAGGACCATTGAAATGGACGGCCGAGATTATGCGACGACTTTCCTGGTCTATATAACTAGAACCGGCATGTCTTTCACTTAGCTTTCGATCAATGGTCAACATTAGGGCCTCTTTCATTTATGGATTTTTCATAATTTTCTTGAAGCTTTATGAATTTTATTCACATGTATCTCGTCGGTGAAAAATTGTTTGTTAGGTCATCACTCACTCACATCATGTGAAAGTTCTACGTACTTCCATTCAGTGGTGGAGGACGAATTTTTTTCATGGTGGGGTGAACTTTTAAGCAAAAAAATTTTTGGTGAGAAACTAACATAGATAATATACATCCAGTGATGCACACCGGTATTTTCATATGACCCTACACAAAATAATCAAATACAATGAAAATGCAAACATATTTTAAATAGAACAACAACCTAAAACATATCGATAAGGAAGCTTTAATGGAGTCTAGAAGATGCGCACAATGGTAGTGCACTGCTCTTCTTTTGAAAATCTAACCAAGATCAAGACTTTCTCCTTCCTATTCCCATCATCTTCTCCTTCTGAATGTGGGCTTCAAGTCGTCACGCGCGCTCTTGCTGGCTGCTGGAAATAGCGTGCGCTCCTAGCCACCGGGAAAGCTCCGCTCTCAGCGCTCCTCCTTGACATTCGCCCCCACATGGTCGACACTCCTGCTGGTGCCGCCCCGACACCTAAGCGGCTAAGCTCTTGCTGGTCGCCGCCCCGAACATCGCCGCTAGGGTTCGTGTCGAGTGAGAGTCTGGAGCCTAATCCCCGCCGTGCTTGCCCTGGATTTTTTTAATGGTACACGATGATGTGGTGTCATGATGAAGGAAATAAAAATGTAACACACCTGCTAGTTGCAACGACCCAATAAGGTGTACAAGATTCACGTCCCAGTAAAATGGTTCATCGTGATTTTTAGCGATCGATAGATTTGTATACGTAAGTACACAATCGCCAGAAATCAAGGTAGGGCGAGTGCCCCACCTCACCCTACCGCCTCCACCCCCGTGCTTCCATTCATGATCTTTGCCAATAGCATTAGTAGCATGGCGGATGATAAACTGAATGACGCCCCATCGATCGCATAACTTTTTGTTAGAGGACCCACTTGATTTATCTTTTATTTTTCTAGAATCAAGAGAGATATTTATTCAATCCTGTTGTTTGTGGATGCACAATCATGGAAGGGTTGATATAAAACCACATATGATGTCCCATGTTGAGGTTGGAAGAAGTTTTTGTAAAGTGTGGGCTTCAAAATCTGTCCCATTCCAATCGTGCTTGGAGATCACCATGCCAAATTTGTGTTGGTCCATGTTGATTTTCTTCAGAATCAGACTCTTGAGCAGAGAGCCTTATAAGCAAGTGTTCTTCATGAATGTGGACAACCCAATAATACATGTACCAGATTTAAGTGAAGATAGAGAGTTAATGACATCATCCACTATGACATTTCTTTGTTTATTCTTACCGAGTATCCGAAATAACCTCCACTTTCGTCGCGACATATAGGATCCATTCTTTTTGGCTTTTGTAGCAGATTCTTTGTTTTTAGAAGCAAAATACAAAAAGAACTAATTTCACCCATAGATTAACCTAGCAACTAGTCCTCCAGGGGTATTATAGAATTTGCGATGTCGTTGATAGGGGTATTATAGACATTTCGTCAGACAACAAGGTAAGATTGAAGTAGCCAAAAAGAACTGGACCGTAGTTCTAAGGGATTCTAGACACATCTAATTCACTTTGCGGCCCAGCAAAATCCACATATGCAGGAATCTACAGCTGAAAAGAACAGGTCCATAGCTGCACATGCCCCCTTTCAACTCCGAGCTGAGCGGGGCGCTGTTGCATCGACATTAATCTTGTGCATGCCCGACGCGAGTGGTAACCAAACACGACTTCTAGATTATGCGCTCCTCAATGATGATAGTAGCTTCTTTTCGAATGATTATAACTCTGGATGAAACTTATTTGTGTAAACTATCCTCGGGATTTACGCCCAAGTAGCGGGCACCAAAATGCAATGGCATTCAAGTGGAATTTGCTGAAGCCCATCAAGCCCAACAATGAAAGTTTTACAAAATGGGCCTTAAAGGTTGAAAGAACTTCCCAATAAAAGGACAAAATACAGCCGAACTATCTTTTTAGCCCAACTCATGCATGTTGCCTTACCCGCAAAAGCAAATAAATTCAAAAAAATTCAAACAACTTCATCTCTGAACAGAACTCAATATATTAGCAAGCTTTCATACACTGTAACCAGCAATACATTACATCACATTATATTTTACATTACATTCAGAAAATCCAAATAGATATCGATCGACCTTGTCCCACGTGACACTTAATTCTTGCCGCGTGCCCACGCAGAACCATTTAATTCAATCTTAACTTATTTCACCCTTAATTTAACTAGGAACGATAGTAGTAGTAGCAATAATTCCGCCGCATCACTGTGACTCCCTGGCTCCGAGGGCGCGCCTGGGCGTCGGCGTGGGCTTGGGCTTGCTGTCGGTCTTGACGGGGTAGGACGCCTCCATGGCGATGCCGCAGAGCCCGCCCGCGACGCCGGAATCCTTCTCCACCCTGATGTAGCCCTGCTCCCCCCACGACGGCCCCCACGAGTTCTTCACCGTCCAGTACGCCTTGCCGTCCTCTGCCACGCCGTACCCGACCACCGCGACGCCGTGGTCCAGCTCCGTGCCGCAGCTGCCGGTGAAGACCCCCTCGGAGTAGAACATGAACGCCTTCCCGCTGGCCTCGACGGCCACGGACACGGGCTGGTTCGCCACCGCCTGGGCCAGCGCCTCCTCGCTGTTGGCCGGCACGTCCTGGTGCCCGTCGATGTGCACCACCACGGGGGAGTTCTGGGCCGCTCTCGCGACGTTGCAGGTGCCTTGGGCGGCGCGGTACGGGTAGGCAGCCTCGGTGATGAGCCCGCCGTTGCTCTTGATGTACTCGAAGGCGTTGTCCATGAGCCCGCCCTGGCACCCTTCGTTGTCCGCCGTGTCGCAGTCGATGAGCTCCTGCTCCGAGAGGGACACGAGGCTGCCCGTGCGGATGGCGTTGATGCCTTCCACGGACACCACCGTGGAGAAGGCCCAGCAGCTACCGCACTTGCCCTGGTCCTTGACGCCCGTCACGGCGCCCTTCTGCCGCCAGTCCACGGACGGCGGCAGGTCGGACACGTTCACGGCGGCGTACATGAATCCGGGGACGGACGGCGGCGTGGCCAGGGTGTCGCGGCGGAAGTCGCCGACGAAGGTGGCGCGGAACTCGGCCTGGCTCATGTCGCCGAAGCGGTTGAGGCGGAGGCGGTAGGGGCGGTCGCCGCGCTTGTTGTGGGAGTGGACGAAGTGGGCGTTGGACTTGAAGGTGCCGAAGCGGCGGTGCTTCTCGGCGTGGTGGCGGGGCACGCGGTGCGCGGTCTGCCACCGCTCGTACAGGTCCCACAGCGCCTCCTCCGACTCCAGGTCCTTGTCCTCCAGCGGGATGGCGCCGCACAGCTCCACCGCCGCCACGGCCAGCACGGCCGCCACCA